GCCCGCCCCCGGAGAGCTGGTCATGTCTAGGTCTGTCGGTCTGCCCCAGTCCCGACCGGTCGGCTGGTCGGAGATTATCAGGCGTTTCCGTGGTGTAGTGGTTATCACATCCGCCTAACACGCGGAAGGCCCCCGGTTCGATCCCGGGCGGAAACAGCGTTTAGTTGGTAGCAACGCTACTAGGTATCTGGTGCTGTCTTACCCAGTAACTGAGCGGGAGACAAAACAGCGCGGAATGCCACCACTGAATTGCACCATAACGCGTGGGCAAAACAGCAGCAAAAATTTGAGTTGTATTTTAATTGGTACGTAATTGGCACGCTTATCATATCAACTACATTGTTTTGGCTTCGTAACTTAAAGCGGCCAGTTCTGAGTACGTGGCAAACTGAAGTCTTTGAAACGACGTGTGAAGCTTTGTCAATGGAGTAAGGTGAGGACTAATTTGCGCGAACAGAAACCAGTTAATTGAGGTCTTCAGTCGCTAAGTGGTGTGTGATATACTTGGCGCCTTGGGCCAGGAAGTAAGCTGGATAGTCCATTCAAATGCATGCACGTCACGTCATCCTCGATAACTGCAACGTCAATTAGCGAACATTGTCCGACGGCAGTGCGGTCTCAGCTGCGTTGCGAGAACAAGAACTTATGAGACAAGGCAGATGTCGCCAGCTGGTGGGTAAGCAAATGCTGGACCCGCTTTGATGCACTTCCTTTGATAAGGATCTCGTTTGCACTGGACACGACATTGCGCGAGAGAATCAGCTTTAAAATGTGCGCCGGGTAGAGCCAGAAATCGCTCTCTCGAATTCATGCCTCAGATCATTCCCGGAAACCAAATTTCAGCGGAATGCGAGGGCCCATGGTACATAATTTGCTATCTATCCTGGCGGTCAATCAATCCTGGGACATTAACCATACAAGTATCATCCACCATTCCAGTCAAATCTTTTCATGCACCGCCATAGGCTTAATGTTCAGCATTCTCGGAAACTGGGGAGCACCCACGGACCACTGTTACTGCGCCTATGCTCCTCGCGAACTTTTGCTTACCTATTTTGTCAAGCTCTCCTTTTGCGTTACGTTTACCTGTGTACCTTTGATTTTTACGAACAAGTTGCGTTTGCACTTCACGCGTACGCACTTTTTTAGACGCAATTCTGTCCTGACGTATTGTTGTCAATAGGAACCTTTTTGATACGCATTTTTTATTAAAGGAACAAATTTTTCCGCGTGTACTTCAGTCATACGGGCTTTAGACCTTTCGTAGATATGCTTACGAAAATCGCGAATGCACATAATGCACACGTAGTTCTGTCTTAAAACCAACGTCGCTACCCAGGGCTGAATTTCGTCCCGACCGGCCCTGAATGTTAAGCCCAAAACTCTGGAGCTGCGGGGTATCGATCCCCGTACCTCTCACATGCTAAGCGAGCGCTCTACCACTTGAGCTACAGCCCCGATGACACTCACATCTGATGAGAATAATTGGGGCGCCATGCTTCACCGACTGGTCAGCCTCCACTTGAGGTGGACCCGCCCCCAGAGAGCTGGTCATGTCTAGGTCAGTCGGTCGGCCCTGTCTCCCGAGCGGCCGGCTCGTTGGGCGGGGCCGAGTGTTTCCGTGGTGTAGTGGTTATCACATCCGCCTAACACGCGGAAGGTCCCCGGTTCGATCCCGGGCGGAAACACGTTTTAGCTGGTAGCAGCGCTCCGCTCGTTGCGTAGTGTAAACACCGGGCAAGACAATATTACAGCTATTTACAACCACATGAGTGAATCAACCATTACCCATGGGCGCATGTTGTAACGTAACACACCACATGAGTGAATCAACCATTACCCATGGGCGCATGTTGTAACGCTGTAACTTTGTATGCTGGTTGCAAAGGTCTTCTACAGACTCGCTACTGGCAGATACCCCGTAACCAACAGAGATGACAAATCGGTGGCACATGCAGATTACGTTGGCGTAGCTTCGTAAGCTGAAGCGACAGCTTTACACACGTACCAAAGCAGGGAAAAGGTTGCTTATAACAGTCTTTGAAGTGACGTTTCAAACCTTTTCCGTCGAGTGCATACGCTTCCTGAGAAAATCTTTCGAACGAACAGCAAGAACTAATTTGAGGTATTCAGTCACTGAGTTCACGTGTGATATACTCCTCGCCTTAGACCGGGGTAAGTTGGATAGTTATCCACATGCACGTACGTCACGTCATTCTCGATGACTGTAACGTTGACAATTAGCGAAGTGTCCGACGGCAGCACGGTCTCAGCTGCGTTGCGAGAACATATGGGACAAGCTAGACGTTGCCAGTTGTCGGGTTAGCAAATCTGCACATTCACCTGAACAAATCTTGACCATGTACGTAATCAAAGCACCGCTTTTCATTATACCACCCTGCACTGCATAATTTGTGCTGGACGTGGTCAAGGACTTACATTGCTAAACCAACTACCAACTAAAC